TGCACAACTGGGTATCCCAGTGATATTCGAAGGTTGTCCAAGTATTAAGGATTTTCCTATAATCGGCAGGATAAGGAAAATGCAGTAGAGAAGATAAAGAGATGCAAATGGAGAATAACAACATGGCAATGATCCAAAATCATTCACAAAAAATGAAAAACAACAAAATGAACAATTAGGATCCTTTTAACCCATCAAATAGTGAACAAGTTTTGAGAGAACAAACAAATAGAGATTGTGAAACCCTCAATTATTTCTTTACTGTGCGATGGAAGGAAATTTACAGGTAGAGAGAGAGATTGAGAAATCAATTTTTGATAAAAGAGTGGTGGGAACCTTTTCTTACAATATTCAATAATGACATCAAGGTTTCTAAGCACAGATCAGTGATCAGTAGGAGTATTGCAGCAGAAGAAAGAATCGTAAGAGCCCCAATGATAACAAAAAAAGAAATAGAAGAGAAGCTACAAAAAGTGGACTTAGATTCATCGATTCGGAGACATTGAAAAGAAATAATGAGAGAAACTAGGATATGAACCAAAAAATGAGATAACATAGTGTCGCAACTTTCTAACTGAACTGCTTTCTTGAAAATCTCCTATGGGAGGACTACGATTGTAGATATAACATCGAAGGACGATGTATATTTCGACTGTTTCACAGAATCAAATTTATATTCAAGAAGGCAAATACAAAGTAGCAAAAGTAGTTCAAGAAAAAAGACTATAAGCATGCTGTGGAGAGTTTCCATAGAGAATGGACAGCCGTTGCAGGACCGCTTGCCTCTCCACCTTCAGTACACTCTCTCGTAGACTGCTTACTCTCTGCAGACCAATGGTATTCCTTTTCTTTTTTTCTCTCGTCGATCGGTTGCTCTCTTTCTCGCAGTGTCCGCTCACCATTCAACAAGCTATTTCAGAAGGTTTCCTCTACAACCTGACTCTCTGCTTCCACATCATTTTCTCTTCTCGTCTTCTCTTTTTCTTTTTCAATCAATTCGGACATTTTCAAAATTACACGTTCAAGAATTGGTGTTTTATTCAAATTAAATTTGTAGAAGGTGCGGAATTGACTATCGGAATGTATTTCACAAGAAACTCATACTCAAAAAGGGCAATTAAATTAGAACGGGAAACAAAATTTGAAGAAAAGACAAGAGCTGATAAGAATGAAGAAACGTATCAACGTGGCAAAGAACAATGAATCGAGCTACCCATCACATCTTTCGAAATTTTGCGTCGTGCGAACCAGTCTCCAAGAGATAGAGAGAGAAAAGGGGGTAGACTTATCGATGAATGACAAATGATGGTTGTTTAAACCTTTCGTCAACACATCAACCCAAATATAGAATTATGCTACAGGAAGTTGTTCCTAAGTGATGTCTCCACATATATATGCGCACACATTAATGCATTGATGAAGAGCTCAAAACAAATGCAATGATTTCGATTTTAGGCTCAAAGTGAGAATGAAACCTTTGAATGTGTCTCCCAAGCTGAGACGATAACGGCCGAAGTTGAAAAAAGTCGCCCGTAGTTCATTCACAGGAGACTAGTCATACAATATCTTGTTTTCCGTTATAAAAATACAAGAATAGAGGATTGTCAACTTGAGTACAACTAGTTTCTAGGTTTTGCGATCATCGTACATTACATCAGATTATGCGCTTCCGAAATTTCATCTCGGTTCGATTGGAACGTTTAATATAAAGAATATAAAACCAAAAAATTCTGAAATATGTTCACCAGAATAATAGAATGGAGTGACAATCATGGATTAAACATGGAGAGTGGGGAATGTTGTCAGTATGTGATCAAGGATGAGAGAGGACTGCGCTGCTGGCCCACCGCCGCAGAAGCCCGCCTCCCAGCACTCCATAAATGGCCGGAACGATTCCACGTATCCTTTCGAATAAATAGTTAAATAAATTCTCGAGACTCCCATGACGAATATTGCAGGGACTATCCTCGATGAGAGATCGATCTCGATGTTTCCGCCAATTACCCGAAACAACGGAAAGCATTATCTCAAGCTGATAACCAAAAATCACAAATCATTAAAATGCAGCCGAATAAATTCATATTCGGTAAGTAACGTGCATAGAGGATAGAAAGAAAGGGGTAGTAGAATTATTATTTATTACTACGATTTGCAACTACACTGGTATATGAGTGATATCAAAACTCTCACACACCCACAACTTCTACTAAGTATTTACACAAGACAAAGCAAGTCATCCTATAAAACGATAGCGATATAAAACATAAATAAGACTAGATAATTTCTATCAGGCCATATAAATAATAACTTGAAGTTTAAATGAGGCGTGAGTTTTAAAATAAATGTTCAGCTTTGATTTTAAAATTTTCAAAATGCTCATGAAAGAATCAGGAGAAACAGGTGTAAATTGTTAGTATCAATTTTATGATCTCGAGTAATTTTAATGGTTATATAAGCTTCTGCTGAATGTTACGTAATCATAAGAACCATGAGGAGCCTGGGGATCTTGACTAGGAGCCATTCTAGCCATACAATAAGAGGCCTGATCAGGTGGAAGTTCTCTGCGTAATTCGTCAGAAGTAATGAAAGGCTGAAACCAGATTTCATATAATTTTTTTTAAGCTGACGGCTAATACCTTCCCAGCGGCAAGAATTCTGAAAGAGTCGATCATTTGTTCAACGGTGTCACTGTCAGCATTTTCAGCAGTCATGAAATCAAGGAAGGCATCGAATGGTACTCTTCCCATTTTGTTGGGATCTACTTGAGATAAAATACGGAACAAATCAGCATCACCCTTAAGATAGAAAAACTGAGAGAAAAAGTGTTGTTAGCTTTACCTCCTTTCCTGGACGAATGTTATAACCAACAGAGATTAAACAAGATCTCAATTGTTCAGGATCAAGACCTTGTCTATCTTTGTCGAAGTGATTAAATGAAGCTTTGTATTCATTAATCTGTTCTTCAGAAATACCCTTACTGTCACGAAGAAGAATCTGAACTTGTTATGGTAAAATTTGAATAAGTACAAAAGGTAACCTGATTTTCGAATTCGTTAATAGTTCTGTTTATACTTGTCAATAAACTTTCCCATCCAACACGGAGTGATTCCATTGAATACCTATGAACTTTAAATGATGTCATTGACAGCAAATCTTACCTGCTCTTTCTGTTCTCGAAAACATAGTTTTCTTGCATTTCTTGATGAATTCTCTCAAGCTCATCCAAATTGAACTTATCTCTGTAATTTATAACATTAACTCAATAGCGTTCGAGATTTGTACCCCAAAACGCTGTTTTGAATAGCACGGAGTTGATGAATATGATCTTCAAGACGTCCGCTTCCTCCTAGGCCAATTGCCAAGACTTTCTCCAATTCACGTTCGAGCCATGGTCCAACTTGGTTGGCCTTTTCCGCGAAAATAGTTCTAAGACGTTCGTTATCTGGAATTATTAATAATATGAATGATATCATACTCAAAATACATACTTTGTTGACGACGAAGTTCAGTTTGGAGTTGGGAGTCACGACGTGGAACTGCTTGTTGAACTTCTCCCCACTTTCTACGAATGTCACCAGCGCTAAGGTCGGTGTAGGGGTTATGTAATAACTCTCGGTCGAGTTTGTGAGTCTCAACAAGACGGATGATTTCCTATAAATATCATAGAGTTAGTTTATACAATGTCATGTTCCGTTACCTGTTCAATTCCGCTAACACTCTGGAATTCTCGTTCAGCATCTCCTAAAGTAGATTTGAACTGATCATGAGCTGAGCAAAGTTCCTAAAAACGTGTTATCATTGTTATACCGAAAACTAGATTTACTTCGATCTCTCTCATTTCGTGCACAATGACCATGTCGGCTAAATCTTCACGAGCTCCATCAAGCCAGTTATTGAATGGAGCAGCTCTGAACTTCTGATATTAACGGTCAAGATAAAACTACTAACCTCTTGGCAAAGTCAAGATAGAGAGCATCCAAGCGCTCAGCAACACGTTCGGCTTCTTCAAGAGTTGATCGTCGTTGAGCAGCAAGTTGACCCAAACGATCCCACTGAGCACAAATGTTTTGGCATCTAGCGTTTACAGGTCCGATATCAGGATATCTGAGATTGTTGAGCTCGCGCGCGATAGCAGCAATTTGCTCAACACGATCTTGATGTGCTCCCAAATCACTTTCGAATGCTTCATGACGCTTTCGCAGAGCCTTGATTTTATAAAGACCACAGCTCTTCCAATCATTGCTTCTGAGAGAATCTTCTTTACCGAAAGCCCACTCTTCATGCAAGGCACATTTATGACGGAACTTCTCGGCAAGATGTTCCAGTCTTTCGAGTCTATCATAGGATTCAGTTAAAGAAGAAAGCTATCCGTAATGAATACCTCATGATTTCACTAAGAAGCCATTCTTCGAAACCTTTCTCGGAATCTTCAAGTCTTCCCCAAGCATTGTTGATATCCTGCAAGGACGTTGTTTTTTCATTTAAAAGTAAAGAGTGGATACTTTGACAAGATGTCCATCTTTTGGAAGGAATGCTGGACGATTAGAAAGACGAAGTCTAGTTTGAAGAGTGTTAAACAACATTTCTAACTTTCCTTTATCCTCAATTCTTGGTGGTTTTTCGTGTCTGAACATAAGCAATTTAAATTAATTATTATTGTAGACAAACCTTCTGTAGTTTCTATAATCTTCCAACTTTTGTCTTGCGACAGCCAAAGTGTCATCAGAGGAACGGTTGGATAACCATGGCATCCAACGGTTGATCCATGCCAAGAGCTACAATAATCCAGTTTAAATCATGATGAGGCTCAAGATAACTTACATCACTGGCAAGGTTCTCATAATCTTGCATCATCTTTTCATTTTCTTGATTAACTTTCAAGACTCTGCAAATACGGTTGGCTGCTGTCTCAGCCTAAATCACATTCATGAGATATCGAAAAGGGAATAACAGAAAAACAAAATGTAACAAGACAAAGTTAGATATCCAACCTTTCTCATACCACTAAAGTAATGATAATAACAAGAGACATAAGTCATGACGGCTTTTTCATCGGGATGCGAGTTAACCATATCTGAATTAACAAATAACTGCAAACATGTTAGGGTTGTTCACGAATAAACATTTTTGTAAAAAAAAAACCACTCATAAGTTATGTAAAATATAAACCAACCAACTTCGACATAAAATAAAACCGAAAACAATTATTCACACATACACATATCTCACATCTTTTCTCCAATCTCTCTCAGGAGGGGGAGCCTGTACTACAGGCACACGCATAATCTGAGGAGGAGGCTGAGGCTTGTGCTGTGGCATTGGAGGATGCATATTTTTGAAAGCATGGTAGAAGCAAGAAACGTATGTCATCGTAGACTTCTCATCAGGGCCTCTAGCCATATCTATATCTCTTCGCTTATAGCATGTACTCTTCTAACATATTTCATAAAAACTAATACTATACCTTCAGCGTCAAGCATTTTTGGGATGTCCAAATGCTTCTCGGCAATATCGAAAGCAAGGTTGAGGTTTCCGATAGGGTCTCCCTTATGAAGGCGATCATAATCAAGAAGATCCGGACTAAATTGCGTTTACTAATGTACTGTAATCACTATGGCTTACCGATGTCTGTGAATGAGTGCACAGAAGGCTAATCCATCCTTCCATGAGTTATGGAAGTTTTGAACATTCACATTGTTGTATGGAGCAGTTTTACGTTGACACCACAGAAGAAGACCGTCGCGAGCAGAAAGTTCTACAATGATTGAGTGTATAGCATTCGAAGCCCTGATTTATTACCCTCAACGTTGATATCTTGAATTGCGAAACGGAGGATAATAGTCCAAATGAGACCAAGAGTCATTTTGACATTTCCGTCAACAATTTCTAGAAAAGTCCAGATGATCAGAAAAAAATGCGATGATGTGTGTACCTTCAGCTCCAATAGAAACAAGCTTAACACCTTTGCTCTCGATGTACGCTAAAGCTTTGTTCACATTGGCGATCTTGTGGAATCTCATCTTTCCTCTATCAGGTCTTGGGAGAGGTTCACCCGAGATAACCTCGAGGAGAAGCATCAATTTCAAACCTATTTTTGATTATTTAATAAGATTACGAAATAATTTCCAACCATTCTTGAAGTCTTCTTCTATTACTTCAATGTTAGTACCAGCTTTACGGAGATGGGAGTTGCACCAAGCAGTGAAAGTCTAAATTTAATGACTTTCGAATTTTCCCTTCTCTTATTTCATCTTAATAGCAACTCTTTTTAGATGTCGAGTTCTTTTACACAAAATAAAGTGAGTCGACTATTGAAAGGAACAATTGTGCCTCCAATTGAGAAAATCAATTGAACGGTCACGTTACAATAGCCATATTAAGAAATGTAGCTGAAGAGTGACAGACCTTTTTCTGCTGTTTTTCCCAAGCTGGATCCAGAAGACCTTCGCGATCCCATTCTTCTTCCTAAATATCTAGTCTCAATAATTGACAAGGAAGGCACTCACGAACCTGCTGAGTGTAGTCATGCCCCGGAGGACGGTGGTACTGTGCGGGTTGGTAGCAATAATCCACCATTCCGCAGTCTATAATACTAAGTAACATTAGAATCGAAGAGAAAAAAGAAAGTCAGATTGAAGAAAGTACACGATTCCTATAGAATGCATATATGTAGAAGATAGAGAACATTCGCGACTATTAAAAAAAACGAAAAATAAAAATTGGAAAAATGTGAGGCACCGTCAGAAAAACGGTAGAAATAAGAAGGATAGATAGTCGGAGCAGCACTCGACAACAACATAATCAAACAATGCAAGAACGGGTGCGCAAAGGAAGAATACAAAACGACTCCAAGCTCAAGGACAGTGAGATAAAGGATTGTAAGGGATTTTCAAGAGTACTTCTACAGAAACAAAATAAGGCGTTAATTGTATTTTGTTCACGTGGGTGGTCGGAAATGATGTCCCTATGCATAAAATCATAAGTATGATTACAAGAACCATAGTCCAGAGTGATGAACAAAGATCTTAAGACTGTATAAACGGAACTCAGTGACCAAAGGCGGAAAATGATAAAAAACGAAAGGAACAGCGTGAATTCTATTAAATACAACAGCGAACAAGCATAAACGTACTACTGTCAATACGAAAGATGTGAGCTGAACATCGAATAGCTCAAAAAGTGAAATTAAGAAGTGAAAAGACGAAGAGACAGAAGTTTTTTTGAAGGATTACATATCCCTCATGTGACAGTCTCCTACAATACCTTTGTGCTACCCGTTGTACCAAACGGATTATATAGATAAACGTGATGAATCATTGATTTGTGAGGCGAAACAGAATCACATACATGAAATGCAATGGGAAAATGAAACTGAAATTCAAACCAAAAATGGCTGCAATTTCGAGAAAAGGGCATTAACTGTGGAGAGAGACATTGCCTTGGAACGTTTCGCAAGATTCGCAATGACCACTTGATACAGCTAAAGAACCGGACGAGAATAAAACAAATTGCATTAATGTTGATAAAAAAAGGGTTTTTAAATGATAAAGATACCTAAGGCCCTACGCCAAATGCATCAGCAACATGAATCACTTACTGGGAGCTCAGATAACAAGTTTAGGGTGTGTACGAAGGGTATTTCATAAATATAAATGCATCGAAACAATGTATCTAAATAAGGAAATGCTTCATAAAGCATAAGATAGAGAGACAACTGCATATTTTAAATTTGTAACAAGATTGTGCAGAAACGCTAAAAGGGATGCATATTTGCACTTCGTGTGAGCTTGCTTTGTTTTATCGGGGGGTCTTGTCATCCACCCAGGTCCAAAATAATAGATCATGTGAACTATGTGTCAATTATGAGATTTTGTATCTACTATGTTCATATTCAAATGAAAATAATAACGCATTTTCAAATTAGAAATATGTTGGGTGTTGTTAATGGTTGTCAAAAACATTAAAAGTGATTTAAACCACATGGATAGCAAACATCCAACTATTTATTTTCGCACATGTTCAACACATGCTTAAAATCTTTTTTTTTTACTTTTTGTTATTTTTTTTTCTCAAAAAAAAACAAAAAGAACAACTAAGATGTTAACAAGTACTGTTGGTTGTAGATGATTGTACGAAAATCATCAGAGCAAGGGTGGGTGGGGGGTAAACCGTTGGATAGCCTTGTTTGGGTAAACGCTAACACGAAAAAGGCGCGAAAATCCGTAAGGCAAACGTCGGTAGCTAGATTGGTGAGAGAAAGAGGAAGAAAGACAAGTGGCTACCAAAATAGGAAACATCATCATGCGGTACTATAAGCTAGTGTTGTCTCTATGTCATAATGAAAATCTATGCTCTAGTTAGCTTGTGTTGAAAGAATGTATAGAAATGAAGAAAAAACAAATGAAAGCTAAACGAAGCTTCATGATATTAATGAAGAATGAGATCAATGTAGATAGATGTATGAATTAGAAGATGAATGAGATGAAGATAAAAGCGACATGTCAAGTTTAACCCCATTTCATGCAGGTAAAAAAAGAAACATTTGAAATGAAAAATAAGAGGAGAGTGAAGATATGGTGTCAATGAGACTGTTTCAATGTAAACATAAAGTTTATGAAATTTCAATAAAACCTTAGATTCAATAGAATTTCTAAGATATTTTAGTCCTCATTACACTGGTGCTAGCCTGCTGAAGAACACCTCTCATTTGTCAGTGGAAAAACCGACGACACGGATAGAGAAAAGGCATCGAGAGAAGCAACAAAGCAGTTTCGAGAATAAATACAAGACAAGGAAGAAAATGAAATGAAGAACGAGATTAAATCAAATGGAAACTCACAATTTTCATCCATGAAAGTTAATTGGTAAGAAGCCGACCGACCTGGTCGACCGGTAATTCAAAATGAAAATGAGTTGGTGTGTGTGTGTGCGTGTGGGCGTGTCACGTAAACGTGAAGCGATCAACATATTCTAATTAGTGGCTGAGGAAAAAAAGAAGGAGAAGATGAATGGACTAAGACAACGACAGAGCAAAACAAAAGTAAAAAAATATTTTTGTTTCTAAATCATCTAACGTTGTTAACAACGAAAAATAAGATAAACCAATGAATTTGGTCAAACAAATTCTTCACAGAATATTAAGACTGAGCTGAAACAGAAGTTTACACTTCTAGTAGGCTCAGGAGCTTTTCTCACAACAGGCGCATCAAAAGCAAAACCTACTCAAATAGTGTGTAGTGATAAGAGAGATCAGGTTATAAGTAGTTATGAAAAACTTCGTTTCTGCCGTTTTTCAATTTTCTTAAGAACTCCTCCTTGCCTCTATCTCCACCCCCTTGGTGTGGGTTGGCTGATGTGGGCTGTCTGTCGCACGCACCATGAGACTGTTTGTGATGATCGACTGTTATCTGAAGTTAAGAAATGTCGTGATACAGTGTGTAGCATAAGCTTATATTAGCCAAATCTCATGTTTATATTCTAACTAAATTTAAATTTTGCGATTCATTTGCACTGCGCTGATGACGGATTAGTATGGGCTTAACTCTATCCATCCAAACAAGTAAAAACAATCGTTCCTTCCTGATATTTTTATTCACAGAAGACGAAGAAGAAGAAGAACAAAAATAATTTTTTCTAAAGAGAAGAACACATTTGATTCAATTGTGAAAACATTCAACAGGATTTTGGTTTACAAAAATGTGATTTTCAACTATTCTTGATCGACGATTCTTTTCCAACTGTCCATCTCTAAAAATATCCAATCAAGAACTGAAAAAATGAGAAAAGAATGAAGAGAAAAGATTCAACAGCTGAAGCATCTTCTCTTTTTGAGATAAAATGATGCAACGACGTGGTTGTTCACTTCATAAGGAGAAATCTTCAACAAAATCTTTTCTTTGTTTATGATCGAGTGCCAGGATGTTGTTATCATCTTGACAGTTCAATGAAACCGTTTACCAATCGATCAAGTTCAGTATGAGTACTATCAAAGGGCATGGGAATTCGCATTCTTGTCTATAGTTTGTACATCGCAAATGTGCTCGTTTAATTTCAGGAAACATTTTGTGTTTTCTTTTGATACTTAAATTGTTTATGAGTTGATTGGCAACTAAGTTGACATGCGTGCATGTAATGAGTGAAAGAACTGATGGCAGAAAGGACAGCCTTTCTGTTACACTTGGTTAGAGAGGGATTGAACAAGAAGAAGAAGATATGTGCCATCGTTGCTTCACTTAAGTGTTAAACGACGTGATAAAGAACTAACTTCAAGAAAAGATATCATTTTACATCAACTTGTCCTCCATTCGATACTCCATTTTTTCGGATAACAGGTTGCACCTCTTCATCCAATGTCTGCAAGAGTATGATGATGATAAGACGCATTGTTCACATTATGTCTCATTTGTTGTTTTGCTTGCCCTTTCATGAATACACAGTAAACAGAACTGCTTTAGAGTTACGAAAAATGCTAGAAGAGGACATGAATAGGACAAAAGGAACAACTTCAGATATTCTTGGACATGTTAACAGAAACTAGATTGTATTCTCAAAACATCATCAGCCCAAACAGTAAATCTCGCTAAACATTCAAGATTAAAAGTTGTTTCTAAACGAGGAGAGACTTTTCCGAAGTCGTATTGTGTTTGTTGGTTGTAAATATCGTTTTTTGTCTTTAAGTTTGAGATTTTTTTTTCTTCACAAAACTTTTCTGAAGGGCTTTACGTACAATCTGATCAATATTCCAACCGAATTTCTCAGCCAGTTTGGCCCAGCTCAAAGTAAATATTAGACTGACGAGGAAAAGAAGTCGTGTCCACCACATGCTACAAATATGAAAATATAGGAAAAACAGAACCTCCTTGACCGTTCGCGAACAAAATATTTTCAAATTTGGTAAAGAGGGGGAGAAGGGGAGATGAGCATTGTGCACAAACACGTCATATCAAGAGAAAGACAAATTTGGAGCCATAATCATTCCTCATTTATCATTACACTTCTCTATTCAAACTTTGAGTCATTCGTTATTACTAAGAATCCTATTTGAAGTAAATAGGACCTGAGATGAGTCAGACTTCAGAAAAAATAGAAAACTGCTGAAAATAGAATGGTGCACTCAAACGATGGAGAGATAAAGCACAACATAAGATATCATGTATGTCTTTCTATTTTTTTTTCAGAGATGAAAGAGTAATATGAAATGAAAATAACGTATTTGAGCTTTCTTGATGGCGAAAACACCTTGAGACACATAAATACTCCAGCGCACAAAACATAACTGGTACTCTAAAAGCAAGATTATCTTACGAAGTCTATAGAAACGGGATGAGGGATAATAATCTAAAGATTCAAATCTATACTTTGTATAATAAGGAAAATATGCTTAGCATAGCTGTGCGGATTACTAATGAAGCAATTATATTTACTCATCTATATCCTCACTTCCAAAATTGGAGCAGTGAAATTGAATGAATGCTCAGGTAAGCTGTTTGTAATAACTGGACACTCGCTGCTATTATTTCTAATTGAAATCATTGAATACAATGAGGTCAGAACTGTTTGAAGAGAACAAGTTTGAATTAGACAGTTTGCTTTTTCCATACTTCCGTTTAGTGCATATAGTTCATACACAATAGAATCGTAAGGTTATGATGATCTCAATGAAAATAAATACGTAACCAACCGTTTTTTGACCGCTCGCTGAAATGCAACCGATTGTTCGCGTCGTCTCAATTGAAATAATATCGCTTGGCTTTTTTCCCGCCAATATAATTATGGTAATTTTTTAAATCATTTCGCAGAATGTGGAGATCCATTGGCTAACATTCAAGTTTGGACAGATAATTCTACTGTATGGAGACGAGAAACGTTCAGCACAGAATGTAGTACTACAACCTATTTGACATGCACGAGAACGGTAGTACCCCTTATTCACCACCTTCATATACAAGATATGTTTTAGGAGCATTTGGGAGGCGACTTGTATGTTATGTTGTTCAAAGCTTCCCCAGATGTTATCGGAATTAATCCATTCTTCGTTAACAAGACCCTATCTTATAACATCAAAACAAAAGTAAACAAACTAAAGATTAGTCATATTAATTTTCTTTTTTTACAGCTATTATGTAAACATGGTAGATGGCTTCACGAAGATTTCAACGTACCTATTAGTCATGCTTTATGTGACCAGTTTATAAATCTTTCGTTTACCAAAGCTCCTGTGATAAAGACGACGGAGGAAACGACGACAGTCGAGACAGTTACGGACTCCTTCGTGACTGAACAACCCGAGCCGGTAACAACCACACAAACCGAGCCCGAGACAACCACACAAGTCGAGCCCAAAACAGCAATAACCCAAAAACTCGAACTTGAAACAACACCGACAATCGAGGCAGATTCAGTAGCACAAGAGGAAAAAATTCAAGTCTTACCAAGTGCTGTGGATCTCTTGCTGGGTACGAACGCAGGAATAAAATCTATGGTAAATAAAGCAATACCTTTGTCATCGCCAGCTTTGAGCAATATTAAAAGTGACTCAGTGCCTGAAGAGGTTATTCCCCCTACAGTGCCCACAACAGTTGCTAGTTCTGCCGAACCCAAAACAGTTCCCAGTTTCGTGACTGTGAGCGACAGAAGAGAATCGTTAGAGGATAGGCCATTTCCTCAAGCAATCCTGGATGAAACTCTTGCCCCTGGATATGAAGAACCTACTGTGCCTACTACCTCCGAATCTATATCACTTACGTCTGGATCTAGCTTTATACTGTTCAATGGACCTACAGGCGCTCCCGTACAGAATAGAAAATCCAAAGTTGTTCTGCGTAGAGTCAAAGGTAAACAGCCAAAAAGAAAAGCTGGGAGAACTGTACAGAAGCGAGTTCATATCCAACATCGGAAACGTCCAGAACGAAAAAAGCAATTTAGGAAAAGCCATGGAGCTGTCAAGAGAAGAATCCACAAAATTCGACTCTAATGTTATTCCAAATACTGAGCTTGCCGGATTGCAAGTTCTTTTTATTTATTTTTGATACTCTGCTTTACTGAATAAAAAGCTTTTTCTATTCCAATTGTTTATACACGAGTAAACAACAAAACAACCAATCAACAAATAACAATAAACATTTCAAAACATCATTCTTCCATCTCCTCTTCCTCATCTTCAACACCCTCGTTATTACTCCACCATGCAACACATCCTAATCCGTGTTCAGCCATGGTTCCTACTATTCTATATGAAGATTCCTTTTTCGATTCTTCTAATGTAATATCTGGTTTTATATCCCTAAAACAAAATGAAATTGCAAACAGATTACTCTCATAGTAACGTACTTCATGATGTTTTCTTTCACTCGAAAACGCACAACTTTTCCTGGATCTATATAGAGTTTGGCTGCTTCACCATCTTCCGTTTGATAACCCCAATACCACACCTAATGTCTTCTATTAAACAATTCGCGCTCTCAGTAAAACCTGTTCATGTTCCTCAAAAAAATGTGGATCGGGTAAATTATCCGCAGGTATGAATATGTCTTCGAAAAATTCTAATGAAAGACCAAGACCTTGCCGGTTTGACGAGATAACCTTAGCTTCAACTATTTCATCGAGATGAGGGCGAAAAACAACAAAACGAAACTGAAAAGAAAAACATGTGTTAAAAGGCTGATCTAGTCGTTCTGTACTTTAACACGATTATGTCCCAATCCTTCACCCGGGAGAATATAGGTTACACCCATCTCTGAAATATCATATAAGCACATGCAGAGTCCCAAGTCAGGAACAATCTTATTACAGAATCTCTTGTTCAAACGTCTTCTAATAACCTGAAATATATTTTTGAGGAACTATGTCAGTAAGAAACAGTACTGATTCTAAGTCTTGTCCCATTTCATGTGGTTTAATGGGGACGGTATCCTGCATAAGTGCGAGAACGAACATCTGGAAAGTAAAAATGAAAATTGAAATGATTGAAATGAAACACAGCCAACTCTGCAACGACATTCGCGTGAAATGAAGGGAAACGTGAAATCTACGTGAGTTGATGCGTGTAGACATAAAATTAGCATAAACAAGACCAGATAGTGGAAATGGGTTCAAACCCGTAATGAATTACAAAAAACTTATAGAGATCATTTATTTCACAGTAAAAAAGTACGAAGTAGAAAAGTGAGACATGAAAATATTTAATTATATAACAACATACTGTTCGTACATTTTGCGTGCTAAATAGTCATTCCCACTACTCCTGTATATCAAGGCCAAGTTGTGAGCAGCAAGCTTCTCCAAATTATATCTGAAGAACATGAATTTTGAAAAAAGATGAAAGATGAAACCTTTTCACGCGTTCGAACTTCTCATTTCCTTCCTCATCAATAATACTGATAATAGGTGAAGGTTCGCTTAATACTTTTTCGTAGTAGTGTATGGCAATGGGTGTTATAGACATTTGATGAAACATCCGGGCAATATTGTAATATACTTCTTGTTGACAAGTCCTATTCTTCTGATAAACTTTCATGAACCCAATAGCCTAATATGGAAAGTTATCAAACAGTAGGATTTAGTATGGTTTACCCTGACAGCGATCATATGTCTGCTACTCAAGTCTTTCTTACATGACATGTGTGTAAAGGTAAGTGCTAGTAAAAGTGATATTAGGGGATTTTTTTTATCTGTACTCCACACTCGTAAGTACTCTCCTGAACGTTAGTTACAGCCAATTATTGAAACTCGGAACAAGTATACCTAAGGCATGGCGATATGTGCCAGTGATTAATGAGTTGTTTCCAGAAATCGTCTGCAATGCTTGGTTCTCCGGAGTCTAAAGAATAAAAACTTTTTCTTACATATTCAGGAATAATGAAACCTTTGCCAATGCTCTCATGATATATCTATGGTAGGAAACGTTCTGAGAATGACAAAAGACATAGTTCATGGCATTAAAGATCCGTTTGTGAAGAATATCTTTTTTCTCTATTGCCACAACGTGGCTTCCATTAGGTGACTGTATCGGATTGTTATATTCAAAATGATATCTCTCTTACGTTCATAATTGTGTGGAACCATCTGACATATTCAAAAGCCAAAGCCCAACTGTTTGCTTTGATGGCTGCGAAATAAAGAATGTTTTGGAAGTTCGATGACCTGAAACGGAATTCAGTATAACGTGGGAAACATTTTGAACTTACTTTTTGAATTTGTTCAAGCGAGGTTGAAGGAAGGCATAACAACATACTATCAACATGTCCTAAAGGGATATAAATGTGTTAGCCAGATAAAACTTTCTTACATGATACTTCTCTACACTCATGAAGCACTCTATCAATTTCAAGCAGTAGTCATGTAGCTGAAGCAAGTTGTATTTGAAATGAGAAGAGAATTTGTAAAATACCATGATAGGATCAATGTCATCAGTACATCTGCCTTCCTTGGCAGCGATCGAGCCCAACCTTTTGACAAACTTCTCAAAGCTTGAATTTTGAATTGTATTCATTGCAACCACTCTCAAAGTGTTGCTAAGCTGGATTCCTAGAGAAAACTCTATGACGTCATTCAAATCATGATGGATACCTGATATCGTTTTACTTTGCCTACGTTTATGCAGGAGATCTGGCTGTCTGTGGATTTCGTAGAAATGAGGGGTTAGTAGCATCCGCACACATCGAACAAACTGATCAGTCTTTTTTTGTTCAAATAACACATCTGCTTGCCTTATAAGTAAACGCTCATCCTAATTTTTTTGTAAGATTGCGTATAAAGACTATTCTAACCGGAAGGTGAGTGCACGTATCAAGATCATATCCTTGTAAGGTTTCCAACGCTTTCTCCGTGTCACCAGCCTTCTGCTGCAGAGTAGAGAGATTGATACGAGCATCTACATGGGAAGGATTAAGCTAAACCGTAATAGTTTGATGAGAAAGTTCACACGAAACAAACCTGCAGAGCCCTTTCGAAGGCTTCCATTGCGCCATTATCTCGTAACACCTAGAAATTAGAGAAGTACGATCTTCGTAGTACTCTTAATACTTACAGAAAGCGTGTTTCCATATATGAACCATAGTTCATCGTTTTCATACAAATTATGCCACTCTTGCAACTGCTCTAGGAAAACCTAGAAAAAAAATCAAAACTCTCAACATAACAGAAATGGGCAACGTACCTTGCACACTTTGAACGCTTCAACATTGTAATAAGCTCTTGCAACATCTAGGATATATGGCTCTTCTCCTTTCCTGGACAAGTTTCGTGCTAGTAAGAGTTCTTTCAAACTCTGTTCATAGGTAATGTATAAAACGTGGAGAAGGTCCACTTACTGAAGCTAATCCAATCTGATCAATTCCAATGAAACAAACTATGAGACGAGTAAGGGTTATAATACTGAAGTTTTCATCGAGAGAGAAGACCGACTTCTCTGGAGGTGGGAAAGGATCTACAGCATATGTGCCGTTGGATAGAGTGATCTGAAATAAGATCTTCGTAAAATCCGATTCCTATCCAGCCTACATTCAAAACATTCTCTTCCTGTTCGGGAGAGAGCACTCGAATTCCTTCACACAGAGCTAGGATAGACTTGGCAGCTTCTGTATATCTATTTTTCGACATCCACATCCCTGTTATGATTAATCATAATGACAATTTTCTAACCACAGACACGAACCAATTAGAGTTTCATGCTGGCCATCCGCAGTTTTTCCGAACTCTTTACTCCTCAACACGAAAGCTTCTAAAGCAGAGATGGCTCTGTCCTCATCGTTGATCATTATGTAGTATTGTGCAACCTTTGGAAAGTTTTTATCAGACTTTTATTATAACTTACAGCTTTAATCAAAGAGTGAAACCATTCGAAGTCCAAACCAGTATCCTGATGACTAATCATCTGAGCTGCTTGTAATCTTGTTTTCATAGAAATGGGCCTGAGACCTATGGTTTCATGTGTTTATCGAATCACGAGAACTTTTCTCACCTAACTCATCCAGGCATTCAATTCGCTTTTCATAGTGATGCCAGTTCTGAGGTTCTACCCTAATTGCTTAATACTTTATCATAGCAGAGAATGAGAAGCATCACTCACCCCTGCCGAAACAAGCCGCAGACTCTTGTAGGAGTTTTAACTCTTTGGACAACTCTCCCCACCTCGACCAAGTTTCAGCTGAAGTACGAGTGTCCAGATGCGCTGATAGTAGACCATATCTGTGAATCTTAGTATTAATATGAGAAAGTGTTTCAAGACATACTGTAAACTCTTTTCTTGATCTCCCAATTCTCCATATATGTCTGAGACTTGTTGATAAGGGATTGCATTTCTAGGCTCTTGTCGAATAACCTACGTGGGAGATGACGAACACTTAGCCTGATTTTCACTAACCTCGAGAAGCATAGTCAAGGCTTCTTTTGTTTGACCACGAGCATATATAAGATTTGCTTGACCCAATAAGGCATCCATTGTTTTACTCAACTTTCTAGGGATTCGTTCCCTTTCCGATCGACTTGGAGCCATAACCTCATGATTGGCGTCTTCATTGACAACCTCCAGTCAAAACTATTATGGAACATAAGTGCTTAGACAAACCTCATTCATTATATGCCTTACATGAGCAGGAAGTTCACTGGCTTTAGAACTGGGGGTGATATATTCATCCGTTGGCTCTTGATATCTCTCTCTTTTGACGACATCGAAAGATCCTACTTCTCTCTTAACAGCCATTTCATCGCAGGTATCATCCCCAGTGATGTCTTCTTCATCATCTTCGTCATCAATATCATTTTCCTCATCCTCTTCATCCTCCAAATGACCTTCTTCTAATTCTTCTTCAACAGTTTGTCCACCAGTCAAGCGCATATACTCGTTATACTCGATTTCTCCACGCATGTATCTATCGAAGTTGCGTTCGGCAGCAACACCTCCTTCATCGGCTGAGTCTTGCCCTTCCTCTGAAATTTAGATAAAGCATTCGTTATTAATGAAATCTAACCTCCCACTAAGTGATCTACCACTCTTACTCCTTCTATAGTCCCATCCAACTCAATATCCTGTTCATCTAAACAGAACAATGTTTACAGATCATTTATATATCTTACAGTTGTAAGGTAATGTTCGAACAGGCTCCATTGGAGCAAAGTCCCTCTCACTGGAAGGCGCATCTTCCTCCATCTAGAAGTAACTAGAAGACACTTTGTCAATATAGGGTATCAGAAGTATGCAATGTGGAAATCCTTGTGAAACAACAGAGAGGGAGTTAGAAGATCATTCATATAACAAGGTAACTCAACAAACAACAAATTCAACAACATGGAACAAGCAATTGTAAATTACATTACAAGCACAGAGATCTTAATATCAGTCAAAAATGCTTCCGTTTGTTCGTGGTTCGTAGACCTCATTAGATGTGGCATGGAAACCTTAGGAAGCTATAGTCTGTCACAACTTGTGTTCGAAGTTTTACCTTGTGGAGCATTTTCAGTGTGAGGTTTAGCCTCTTCTTTACAACTAGCTTCAGTTTTGATATCCTTCTTCCCGTAATCCATTGGTAGGGAAACGGGGCCTTCAAAAGGCTCGAAAGGATCGAAATCATCCTCAGTAGGTCTGGAACAACAACTGTATCAATTATCTCTATGACCGGCACAAACCTTCCATAGCCTCTGTAGCCACGACCTCTGCCGCGCTTTGCGCTTCCATCATAGTCGGAATTACCGCTGTATCCTCTCTTCGATGGGTGACCCTTCAAGAGAATGACAAAGCTTATAAAAAAAGACAAGTTTAACAAACCTGTCCTCCACGGCTATTATACCCTCCTCTACGATCATTGTATCCACCTCTGAATCCTCCACGGCCTCTTCCACCTCTGAATCCGTTACTATCTCCTCTATGTCCGCCTCTTAGATTATTTCTTCCCCTGCTTGCGCTCTGAAAACCCATTGTAAATGAAAACTCCTGTGTTGTATATCATACCTGCTTAATGATAGAATTTCTTTCACTTTGCATTCTATCACGTATGTCTAGAGCTTCAGCTTCACTTAATACCTGGAAGAAGATATGAGTCTCAAAAGCTTTGCATGAACATACTTGAAAATCACAGAATTCATTGTTTAGAACAATAATTATTTTGGGGTGATCTAGGATCACTCTGTTTTTGGTGTTATCTAACATGTTTTTCTCAGCTACCACAACATAGTATCTGTAACAGGAACATTAAATCCACGCATTCACTACACAGCTACCGCTCTTGCTCATATCTGGGAACTCGCATGAAGAGGTTGATATTTTCGGATCCTGCTTCAATGAAGGGTTTCAACTTTTGCACATCTAGGTCGCTTTCGGAGACTATACATCCAACCTTCCTAGGTTTCAAGAATTGTTTCAACACCTGAACAGTTCAATTAGTTTTGAAGTTTTAGAATTGTTTACTGTGCATATGCGAATGGTCTCCGGTATATTCTGAACTCTGTAATTATATTCCGAAACTGAACCATCTTCCATTTGTTTTTTGAAAATAAAATCAATACACCAGAAGATGGAATCAGAAAACTGTTCATGGCGGGAGCAGTCTTCCCCTGAAGAGAATCTTCCTTCAGAGTACACAAGTAGATCATACCTTTGTCATTACTGAAAGATAAGAATATCTGTCTGCGAGCAGCATTAGGGAGGAGGAAACGTTCTACAGCTGATGTTGCCTAAAGAATATACTCATAACAATAGCACAAAAAAAACATACCCGGCTCCGAGTTCCATCAGCATTAAGTTCTACATTATCCCTGTTGACGTTTTCATCAGAGTGTTCAATCTATTGAAAAGATACTAAAAATCCACACATCTTCTCTTACCGATTCATTGTTCTCAGTTCTTTCCTCATCATACCTTCTATGATCGTTTCCAGAATACGTAGGTTTACAGTTTTCTGGTATAACCTGAGAGACAGTTACAAAAGGAGGAAATATGAACGAAACCTTGTTCTGAACGCGATCAAAGAATCTCTGATCTTCAATAGAGTTTTGTGCTGAATATTGTGATAATTTTTGGACAACAGTATATGGCCCCCGAACTCCATCACACTGAACAATAGACTATTAGAAACACGACCGATAACAAAAAATGTGAAAATGAAACTATGGTAAAGGTGAAACCAAGAAAATCATTCTTGGCGATAAAAAAAATGAAGCGGTCGTATAAACCTCTAACTCACTTCTTTTTCTTCTTTATGCTTCTTGGAACACGCTAAAGAGCAAGTTCTAATGTTGCATTTTGGACATCTATAAGGTAGGAGAATAAGTAAGATATTGTTGAGTTCACTATAGCTTACTTGTACTTATGTGGATCTGTTTTACAAACTTTACAGAGAGCGGGATCAATTTCTTCCTCTTCTTCCTCTGTTTGGTCAGGAATCTTCAATACACATCATGAGGTATGTGAATAACAAATTCCTCACTTTTTGAGCTAATCGGTTTAAAACTTCCTCTGGTGGTTCTTCATTATCGCTGTATTCTTCCTCATCACTGGCGTAAGTTTCAAAAATTTTAGTGGCTAAAGAGTTCTTTGAGACATTACAGTATATCTGTGAGAACTAACCTGTGCCAGTAGGAATAACCTCGGCTTTGTGGAGAGTCTCATCCTCACTGTTATCATCAACGATTTCACCTTCCTCGTGAAGATCTGAAGAAATATGGTTAAAAGATATCACAGTCTTCATAACTGACCAATATTGCTTAAGTCTTCCATCTTAATCTAATATATTCGAAATTATGAGGAATGGAATATAACTAAACACTTATGCAAAATTGTAACAGTTGATATTCAAATACTGTATACTAAACACCATTTGCGACCCTATTTTCAAATTCACGACTCTTATCACTTCTACGCAATAATTTAGGGCTTTACGTAATTTTAATAATACTTTATATCTGAGATAATTTTTTGTTTGAATAAGCTTTTATGTATTTAATCTAATTACTTATATTCTTATAGCTAGCAATATGGCTCCACCAGGAGCTGGGGCTCATGCCCCCTTCGAAAGTCAGAAGAACAAGGTGCATAGAGGTTTGTTAATGGAACAGTATGAGGAACTCAATAACATCTTATAGTTCATACGAAAGGAGGAAAAGCCAAAAAGCTTGCCGAGAAAACGAAAGTCAAGGGAAACAATCTTAAAGCTTTCACTTTCGCTTCTGCCAAAGCTGCCGAGAAAGCAATCAGAAGGTACGTGCTGCCTAGAAAATACGTTTGATCTCTAAGATAATATAGAGCCGCTGATATAAATGAACGGAAAAAGCAAGTAATCATGATGGATCGTAAACCATTATTACCTCCGCCATTCATAGTAGCCATTGTAGGACCTAGTAAAGTAAGAATCAGTTTTGAGAGTTTGTACACTGACTTCTTCCATAGGTTGGAAAGTCCACTCTGCTGAAAGGATTAGCAAAAACTTATTTGAAATGTGGTATTGGAGAGTTGAAAGGTTTGAGAAGTCTAATACTCAATACATTGATCATCACTCATTAGGACCAGTAACCATCGTAACTGGAAAAGAGAGGAGAGTACAGTTTATCGAAGTTGCCAACGACATTAACCAAATGATTGACATCGCGAAGGTTGCCGATTTGGTTTTACTCATGGTAGATGCTTCATACGGATTTGAAATGGAAACATTCGAATTTCTCAATATCTGCCAAGTATAACATCTGTACCTTTATAGAAATTTAACTCTTTCTCGTTTAAGGTCCATGGTATGCCCAGAATTATGGGAGTTCTCAATCATTTGGACTGCTTGAAAGGAATTTCCCAAGTTAACAAAACCAAAAAAGTTCTTAAACATAGGTTCTGGACTGAGTTGTATCAGGTAAGACTTGAATTTGTTGTATGTTCCATCGTTTCTAATCTTATAGGGTGCAAAACTTTTCTATTTGACGGGTTTAGAGCATAAGCAATATAAAAGGAAAGAAATCCTGAACTTGATCAGATTTATTTCCGTATTGAAGTTCAGACCTATGGTTTGGAAAGATGCTCATCCTTATATATTATGTGATCGTTATGAGGATGTTACTGATCCAATAGTACGTGGAAAATCTTTATGTATCATAAATTCTGTTTCTAGAAACTTCAAGAAGATCCTACAATAGACAGGAACTTGTGTTTATATGGATGGGTTCACGGTGCGAACTTGGTTAACAACTCTGCTGTACATGTTCCTGGAGTTGGTGATTGGAGAATTAAAGAAGTATTAGATTTTTATGTGTAGCTATCTCATATCTTGTTCTTCAGATTACTAGTCTCAGTGATCCTTGCCCTCTTCCCGAAAAAAACAAAAGGAGAGCTTTGAATGAGCAAGTATGTTATGACGCTTCATTTTATAAGTGACTATTATCTCTCTAGGAACGTGTGGTCTATGCTCCCTTCTCCGGACTCGGTGGAATCGTCTATGATAAAGATGCCATTTATGTCGAAAATTCCAATAAGAAAGTCTTTGAGAGAAACGAACTCGTCCAAAACTTGGATAATGTTCAAGCAACTCTTGATGAGAAAATTGAAAAATCAGCTCTACGGTTACTAGATTCATCCAAGCCCATCAACGCGCAATCTATCAAACTACCTTCTCAGCAAACCTTCATGGACGTCGATGAAAGAGAAGATGAAGATGATGAAGAAGAAGAAGAAGAGGAGGAGGATGATGTGGATGATGAAGAAAACTATTCGGAAGATGAAGTTTACTGCTATTTTCTCATATTTTTTTCATATCAACTTTTAGGGAGATGATTTCGGCGGCTTCAACACTTCCGGTAAAATCAGTCAAGCTTCCAGTGATGAAGAAAATTTCCAGTTTGATGAAGACGAGGTAGGAAATCTATCAAAGGGATGCTTAGTACTTTTAAGTCATAGAGTGAAAACGATGAAGAGTACGAAGATCAGGTCCCAAAAATTACTGCTTTCAAAGACGATTGGGGAAGCTTGGCCAAAAAAGCTATTGCGCAGTTCAATCCAACTGTTGATAAAAGAATAAATTGGACTAATATCATTTATGATGAAGGTTCGTGTTTATTGTTTACGAAGTGTTAAAAAATAAATTCTCAGAAGAGCAAGCTGCAGAAGAAAAGGGAGATAAGGATTTCGACGGCGTTGCTGGCCTTTTCACAGTTAGAAAAGAAGCGACGAAAACTATAAACGATCGCGAAGACGGCTACAGTTATTGGCAGGTTGCTACTACCTCTATCGAATCTTTGAATTGGACCGAGGAAGGAGTCAGAGATAGCATTAAAGATTGTTTCGTTACTGGAACATGGACCGAAGATGACGAGGAAGAAAAAGAATTAATGGGTATTTTTGAATTGTTCTCAGGTCATTGGTAGCACTTTGTTTTAAGACGAGTTGGATGATGATGATGATGATGATGATATGGAAGATGGTGAAGATGAGAAAATGGACGCTGATAATTCTGAAGGTACTTCCGTTCCAAACATTCTTGACTTACTATTCGAAATTAGATGGTCCTCAGAAATCAGCGGTCGAAAAGGCTGAGGCTGCTGCTAGAGAGCGGCGAGCTGTTGAGAAAGTGAAACTGAAGCAAAAGTTCAATGATGAATATGACGAGACATCCAAGTACTATGATACTATGAAAGTGAGTTTTGTATAATGTAATAATAGCCCAGAGTGGTTGCATTCCAATGAAATTAATTATTATTTACTCAAAAACGAATATTCAGAACGAAATGATTGAACAAGCTCATTTGAATAAGAGCATCTTCGAAGGAATGAGTGAGGAAGACCGAGAAAAAATAGAAGGTAAATTTTGGAGTTTCAGTTGGCTAACTGTAAAGCTTTCTTAGGATTCCGAGCCGGCAGGTATGTGCGTGTTGAGTTCGAGGGAATCCCATGCGAGTTCGTCAACAATTTCAATCCATGTTCGCCATACATCATAGGTGGTCTTCTTGCAGGAGAGCAAAATATGGGAGTTGTACAGGTTGGAGCTATCGAAAACCTTTGTTGTATAATTTCATTAGGTCCGTATCAAACGTCATAGATGGCATGATCGTATTCTGAAATCGAGAGATCCTCTTATTATCAGTTGTGGATGGAGACGGTTCCAAACCATGTCCATATATTCGATGCAGGTATTCAGTTTTCTTGAGTCTTCTATGAAAAAATCTTACATAGGATCACAACATGAGACAGAGGTTCTTAAAGTACACACCTGAGCACATGCATTGTTACGCTCAATTTTTCGGGCCTCTAACAGCTCAAAATACGGGTTTCTTAGCTGTGCAGTCTGTTTCTGATAAAACAGTGAGTCATTTGTATCAGAATTTTGATCACTTTGTTTTTTCAGCCTGGTTACAGAATTGTAGGAACTGGTGTCGTTTTGAACTTGGATAAATCTACAAGTGTAGTCAAAAAACTCAAACTTGTTGGAACACCTGAGAAAGTCATGAAGAAAACGGCATTCATCAAGGTAAGGAAACATTTTCATTCTTCTGAGTGTTGACTGAATTCAGGGAATGTTCAACAGCCCGCTAGAAGTAGCCAAGTTTGAGGGTGCTACTATAAGAACAGTTTCGGGTATCCGTGGTCATATAAAGAAAGCGATGAAAAATGGAAACAAAGGAACATTCAGAGCTACGTTTGAAGATCGAATTCTGATGAAAGGTTTCTATTTTTAAATCATACCTGGCATAATGGTGTTTTATAGATATTGTTTTCTTACGTTCATGGGTCACTGTACCGATTCCTAGATTCTACACTCCTATCATAGACCATCTTCTCGAAGCCGGTGAGCCATGGGTGGGCATGCGCACCGTCGGAAAGATGAGGGCAGAGTTAGGAATTAAACCACCACAGAAGAAAGACTCAGAATACAAGGTTAACAGTCAAAAGTCATCATTTATTTCAAAATATTATTTCAGCAAATTGATCGACCTGATTTCGTACCAGCTCCACTGTTCGTTCCACCCAGACTACAAAAGAGTCTACCATTCAAACTCAAACCAGCACATGAAGATGAATCCTCTAAAGAGGTTCTGCAGATGCCCATCAATTTTTTATAAGTTGTCTTGTTTCAGAAAGTTAACAAACTCATTAAAAAGCACACTGCTGTTGTACTTGAGCCGGCGGAGGCGCAGAGACAACGTTTACTCAATATGCTCTCTGTTATAAACAAGTTTGTGAATTTAGTAATGGTCTAGACTTTATCAAATGATTTCAGAGACGTAGAGGATAGATTAGAGAAAGGTAAAGCTAAATCAAGAGCCAAAATAGAGAAGAAAGTGAGTTTTGAGTATCTAATGTGAAATTAATATGAAAATGTGATTCAGATCAAGGACTACGAAGAGAAGCGTGAGGCGAACATAAAGTCCAGAAAGAAGGAAATCAGTCGTGTTCTCAGTAAGCGAGAGCAATACAAACTGAAGAGAGCCATGGGCAGATCAGCAACTTCGTCCTAAATTTGTTGAAATTGTTATAAGAATTTGTTGATTTTTGTTAAACTCTTTGTTATATTGTTATAAATACCATGAAAATACTAAAATTATGTGTTGTCTGTGACTCGTTCTATTGGTTTCAAATCCAACTCATTCACTTCTTTCGTGTTTCATTCAGTTCTAAAGTAGATAATAGCTTTGACAGGATGACCATCGGTTTAGAATCGTGGTTTCTAAATTTTACGCAACTTTCCCGCAAAGCTCAAAGTCCAGAAACCTTAGCTGATGTTCCCAAACCCTTTTTCGAATATGCCATATGGGGACTGTTCAAAGGAGCTGAGTTCGCAAGCCTCATCGGAGGGTGTGTGGCACATCCCATCTACAGAATATATTTGACTAAAACGCTGAAACCCGAAAACACGACTCCCAACAGCTCCAAGATTATCCGAGCAAAGTGTCGGGCATTACAGGTTTTCTTGGAGTACTCTGTACTATGAAATCAACAAAGTTTTTTCACAGGGTCGTTTTCTATTAGCAGGACTTGTCCTGGGACCAACTTTGGCCTATGCACATGCTATTAATGATGGTGACTTTATTCCCATTTCTTATTGAATTATTCAATTTTCAAGGCATGAGTTTTTCGGAGGCACAAAAGAAATGCTACCTAATACGTTGTGACAACGATGGAATGACTCTGGTAAACATATCCAAGTGAATTATTGTTAAAATGTGAAATAGGATCGATCAGCTGTAGTTTGTGGTTTGGTTGGCTGGTACTGGAAGAGGTTCCAAGGTGCTGTTGATGGAATTAACGTGGGGATAGCATATGCCACTCTGAGCAGCAAGGTGACTTTGAAAAATTAGTTTCTCAAACTAAAAAGTTTTACAGATTCTTTCCACCTACACAAACCCAGTCTTGCAAAATGCCGTTCTGCCAGAAGAGCGATATGAGTCTGTGCAGGAAGCCGCTGCCAATCGCTCTCGGCTCACGAAATTCCTCTCGGATTTGGATAAGAAAAGCGACAACTCCGACGTCTCGAGTGAAAAATAGAGAAATCTTCTGTTAGAATAGGTTTAGAGTTTAGTTTATTTATTTTGAAAGCTTTTTAAAATCTGCGCAACTCTGTGGTTCAACGGGTAATCCAATAAGGTTGGAAATAAAATTATTTTAAATCTTCTTCTTCTTCCTCTTCATCATTTTGTTTTTCTGGCATAGGCTTTGTCATCAATTTTGCTGCTCTTCCACCATCCGTCAAGTTTTCGTAAACTGCCACCCCATTCTCTCGGAAGCAAGAGAATGGGAGTTCACGGAGTACTGTAAATCCATTCTGTAAATTCATATGTTTATGTTTTACGAAAGATATATCAACCTTGGCGAAAAGAGTTTGAGAAGCCACAGCTGTTGCTGTTGAGATTATGTAACTGCACCCAGCATCCACTGCCGCTTGTTCAGCCCGTCGAAGCATTTGAGAAGCTATTCCTTTTCTACATTCTAAGTTAATTCTTCCTCGACACCTTCAGCAACTCTACCCTTGGTAATCTGACCGAACACACAATACGTCGATTTTAAATATTTTCTTAGGAGCGTTGATTAGTTTGGCCATTCCAGCTTCCACAGTTTCAACGAAGACTACTAATCTATTAGCATTTAGCTGCGTATACGGTCCAGATTCAATTGCTAAACCAATTCAGTTGTCATTGTTCTTTCCTCGCTCAAAATCACCTTTGGCAAAATCGGCGCGTGGGTCAAAACTTGATGATTCTGACTCAGGCGAACCTTCTACTAGTTTAGTATAGTTGAGTGAGATTCCAACTAGCTCTTTAAAAATCAGAAATGTTTGAGTTTGTAACGTAAGACTAGAACCTGGCCCATCAAAACAGAGGGTTGACCATTTCTCATTTGTAAGCCCACCATCTCGTAAATCAATGAAAAAATCGAAAACGTCATCCTTTGTTGCATCTTAAAGAAAAATCATAATTTCGAAAACGATGGTAAACAATTGGGTTTCGAAATATTTGTGGGAGAAATTATTCAACACGAGAGAAAACTCGAGATTGTAAGATGATTATTTATTTTTTCCACTCAACCGCCAAAACTAGCTGATAATCTAATTGCCTTTCAAGGCGTTCAAAAATTGCGTATATCACCCATGTTTCAGGGGATATCGCGGGTAATTGGTAGAAGTTTTCAACCAGCAATAAACGCATCTCGGCTAAGCCTCATTGATCACGTTATCGCCACTGCGCAAAGCTAAAGAGAACCCTTGCTGAACTAACACATACTTCGGCGCGCCGTATCGCGTATGGGTGCAGTAAACCACATAGCCAGGCTGGCTCCAAAGCCATGGCAGGGTAATTTCGCATTTACAAAACCGTCTTTCGTATATCAAATAGGAAAACGAACTTATTGTACTCGTGATGGGTTCAGTTACACGAAAATGGTTCAGTAGAAATTGGTGAACAATCTCATTATCATTCTTAGTGCCTATCCGATATTCGAGAGACATCGTTGAGATGTAAGACTGAAAAGGATAAATGGTTATAGGTTGAACATAAAGCTCGAAGTGAATTGCGGAACAAAAGTTTGATATGCCGTGTGCTGATTGAAGAATGTGAAAAAGAGAGAGAGAAAGAGAGAGAAAGAAAGAGAGAGAGAGAGTAAGAGAGACCGTGCCATGTTCGGACGAAGCGAATTCAGAACCAGCCTGCCGTTTTTTGATTAAGAGTTCAGAAATACGTTTAAGAAACCATTGCAAAGTGGTTATATTGCCTTTCTTCAAAAAGCAAATACATCCAAAATGAAAAATCAATACATAATTAGAGCATTCACGGCAAAATCCGACTATTCCTCCAATAAGAAATCTCTTATAACATTAACGGAAATGCTAGATGCAGAAGGAAGAATGATGACCGCACTATGGGGATTGAAAGAATTTCTCTTTGCCAGACTATGCCGTGATTCAGTGAAAGGAATGTTTTCGGAATTTTGTTGGAATCAACAAACTTTTTACTATAAATTCCCTCAAGTGCTATTATTCACGAGAAGCGGGAACATTGGTGGGAAAAAATGGAACGAATGATGTACAATAGGTTGAACTGATCTCGCCCAATTTCATCTGGTAATAGACAATTATTGGAGGTTTGTATGAACAGGTGTGAAGAGAGCATGAACATAGGCACTGGAGCAATCCCCTCAACACTAGCAATTTGGAGGAAGGGGAGGGGCTAGTCGATATATGGCAGAAGAACACATGGTTGTCTAGGCCCCGTCTGGCGTTTCCAACATAATACATTCGATAACTACATAAGAAAGAAGAAATAACGAGAAGGATACATAATCCGTAGGTTTAGAAAGTTCCTCAATGAATCAACGAATACGAGAAAACAGCAAAGAGAGAGGGAGAGAGAGAGAGAGAGTGAGGAAGAAAGAGCGTCTTCAGTTTTTCAGTTGAATAAGCACGGTCGATCACACTCTTTTTCCACTTTGTCATGTTTGCCTCTCGAATAGGACATTGCTTATGTCTCCAATCTCTATTACAACCGGATATATCTCTTTTAATTGATGAGAGCCGAAAATATCCGTCAACCCGGCGATCAACCTTTTTTTAGCCCTGTTCACATAATTGCATTGTCTCTTGTTCCAAAAAAAGAAAATTTAAAATGCTCCAATGATTTCGCTCAGATCTTTAATTTTAGAAAGCCGCTTTCGTCCTTAACAAAAGGAATGGCCTTCGTTTGTTTACCGAATACGGTCAGACTGTCTTAGGCTTGCGGATTATCTCCACGAGAAATCACGTACATCCCATAAAAGGCGTCATGACGTGTCCTCCTTATAGAATGACCTCGGCCCATCTTCTTCCTGGATGAATGCTAGAATGAACATAAGGAAATAATTGATTTTTGTGTCCATTTGGCTTAATAGCTTGTTTTCCATATTTGTTGGCTACTTCTTCATTTTATGAATCACGCATACAACACATCACAAACGTCTTATCACAGTTTCGCATTTGTACTTCCGCCCGCTTATACCAATTATGTGTTTCTCATATTTATAACGAAGTTGTTCGCTCGTTGAGCATCTGTTTTAAAATGTCTACATCGATGGGCTCTCTGTGAGTGGTCACTCACTTAAAACCGCTTCATTTATGTTTTGAACGATTTGCGTGCGGCTGTGCGTCTTTCCTTGTCTGAAATTCCTTTGCCATTTAATTGATTTTACTCTTCTCTTCTTCCCCTTCTCATGCTCCAAAGTTATTTACGGAATGTTTGTTCAATATTCATTAACACGTCATTTGTAGGAAATTCTATACTTCTATATCCTTTTTTCATATGAATTATTCAATTTTTTATTTTTGTTGTGTGTCCTCTCATGCATCTCGGACGTTCGTTCGCAATTCATTTAATTCATTCAGAAACAATGGTTGTTTGTGCAACTCCGCAGATGGCTTTCAGTTTTGATGATGTGAGAACGAAAACCGTGGAGAATTTAATTTTTCATTTGATAGAAGAAGTAATTAACTCATTTTGCATTTGTTTGTATACTTATCCCTTTCTCGCTTGCAGGTAACTAACATAACAGAAACTTATCCACTTCCCAAAGGACAGAGCCCTGAAAGTTTAATCATAGCAGTCGAAAATTCCGTAGATAAGTTTGTACAGCAGGCTGATGTTGCTATCAAAGATTGCCTCCACGCTAAGGTATGTGATAAGATCATAGAATTAATTTTATCACTCGTCCTTATTGATGTTATACTAACTTTGATTTATAGGGTAGTGCAGCTGAGCGATTAATTCAAGCTATTGGAGATGTTCAGCGTTCAGGTAACTTGAGGCTTCTCTCTCTCTCTCAAATATTTGTCTTTTAAGGTCAAAATTTGAGCAAAATCGGAAGGGAATTCGTGAGAGATAGTACCTCATCACAGAGAAGGAAAGATGCTGTCGAAGCTGGACAATTACTTCTTCAGGTAAACTTTTGAAATCAAAACTATTCTATTTTTGTATATAGTCTGTTGCTCATTTACTCATTATTGCCGATATGTTGGATGTTTCATTGCTCACAGATGTTATCGAGGATGTACTCGATACATTAGAACGTCTTCGTAACTCTGAGTCAAACCAAGAAGTCATCGAACGCTATTCAACGCTTATGGCTCAAATTGAAGAAGTTGAGGAAACAATAAAGTCAGTTGTTGTCATTTTGTTTTTTTTTTTACAAAAAGCTTTTTAAGGCGCCGTATAAATGATTTGAGAGATCCAGCAGATAGAGATGATCTCTTAGCTGCTTTCAGCACACTAAAGGCAGTCTGTCCAATGGTTTTGAACTCTACAAAGGTAAAACTGGTTTTTATCTATCTTAATGAGCACTGTGTTATAGGCTTTCGTTAGACATCCGGAGAGTGAAGAGTCTAGAAGAAACTGCGACTATGCATATGAACAAGCTTCGAACGCCTTGCATGCTATGTCAGATATTCTCAATGGTAAACGCCCAAGATATTTCTCTCGTATCGGTGATGTGAAAAACTTAGCCATAATGCTTGATGACTTCGAGGTATAGTGAAACTCTAGTAATAGTTTCATATTCAACTTCAGGGAAATGTTTACGCCATTGATCAAGCATCTTATAAGAAACATTTACATAATCCCAAGTTGGAATCCATGTTGGAAGACATAATCCGAGGAGCTGGCATTCTTGCTAACTATGGTATTTTTTTCTTATCTCTATTTCTCACTTATACCCTTTCTCAGAATTTACCCGTCCTAACCGTCGCTCAGCTATCCCTGATGAATGTAATAATGTCCGACAAGCACTTCAAGACTTGCTCAACGAGTTCGAAAAAAATGTTAGTTTTACTCTTCTGTCAAATTGAATACTTGTTATGTGTCTGTATTTCCTTATAAGAGTCTTGCTCGTTTTAGCTTGGACGCAAAGAAACTTCCGACGATGTTGATTTGGCTATGGTTCAAGTTAAGAACAAAACAAAAGACCTACGAAGGTTTGTAATGTAAGGCGAATGTTAGTCATCAAATGTTTCAGACAGTTACGTCGAGCCATCGTTGACCATGTCAGTGACGGTTTCCTCGATTTACATTCACCTTTGTTGAACCTCATTGCTGCTGCTGAATCTCGCGATCCTGAGCGTACTGAAATTTGTGCTAAGCATTTCTTGCAACATGCTGATGAGCTCGTAAAGGTTAGTGTGACATATCATACTGTTTCTTTGTCATATCTATCCTTCTAATCCAATTCGACACTGATATTTATCTCGTATCATATTTGCTTTGATCTTTATCGATGTTTTTTCTGAGTTGTCCGCAAGTGTTTTTTTTTGTTTGACCTCTTCTATTCACACTTTTGAAAAATCACAGAAAGTCGGTAAAACAAGCCACGTCAAAATTAGCATACTCTTTTTTTCTTTTGCGTTCTAGTTCACGGACGTGATTAGCATATGCACGTGCAATGAACTGTAGTCTCACTTTCCTTCCGCATTGCAGTTGAGCGGTTGTATTCTCGTTCTCTAGTTCTATGATATCTTATGCATTTAATTCAGGTTGCTAAGAGGTCTTGTGAAATGTCTACTGATCTCGAAGGAATCAGAGTCATTCGATACACCGCTGATAGCCTGGAGAAGTTGGCACCTGAAGTCGCCAATGCTGCCCATCTTTTATGTGCTCAAGGAGACAGTGAAGTAGCCAAGAAAAATATGCAAGTGTACCGTGAAGCTTGGCTATCAAAGGTTGACTAACACCTCATTTAAAAGTTACATTACAATTTACAGGTTCGTCTCTTAACTATGGCCGTCGATTCTATCATCTCACTTGATGATTTTCTTGCTGTCAGTGAAGCTCATATTGGAGAAGATGCTATGCGTGGAATTGAGGTTGGTGTATTGAATGGTTTTTTAAAAATTGTTTATGATCTATAGGCTATTCACGTGTCTGATTCCACTCTTCTTGATGGTTGTGCCGGGGCTATTCGAGGTCGTGCTCTTCGTGTGTGCTCAGTTGTTGAGAACGAATTGGACGCATTACCTGTAAACAGCTACTCCGACAGAATAAAAATAGCTACTGTTAAACTTCGCGGAGAGAGTAAGTCAACCAGTTTTTATGAGAAACCAAAGATATTTATAGTTCTTAAAAGAAAACCTATAGGTTTGAGTTTTTTTTATCAAATTTTGTGGTCATTTGTGTGTAATTAATGAATGCTTTCAATGTGGCTTTGATTGTCGCGTATAATTTTGCTTTCTGGGAACTTTATTTGTTTTATTGAAGACATTCATTTCAGAGCTGAACGAGTTTGCTGACAGGGCTGGCGATGTCATTCAAAGTGTTCAAGAAGCTCAACATAAAGGAGAACGAGATCCAACCCAGAGGTACCAACAGCATTCTTTCCTAATTCTGAAACGCCTCCTATTTAGAAACCGTGACTCCGACGAATTTGTTGAAGTTTGCACGCTAGTTCATGATGCTGTAAAAGAAATCCGAAATGCTCTTCTCATCAATAGAAGCCCTGATGAAGTTGACTCCGATAATGAATACGAAGAAGATGGTCATACTCTTCATGATAATGCTAGCAAAGTGAGAATTGAGCAAAGTGACGAATTAACTTACTCGCTGTTCAGATTTCTGAAGGTGAAAACCAACAGAAAATTATGCGTCGCTTACCCGAAGAAGACAAGAAGAAGATTCAGGAACAAATTGATGTGTTCAAGGTATCCTACCACTTCTATTTGTATTTGAAACGATGCATTGTTTAGATTACTCAAACCAAATTCGAGCGTGAAGTTGCTAAGTGGGATGAAACTGGTAACGATATTATTGTTCTCGCGAAGCACATGTGTAACATCATGATGAACATGACTGACTTCACAAGGTACGTTATCAAAGTTGTTATACTCTTCCACGAAGCAACTTTGTTTCAGAGGTCGTGGTCCCTTAAAAACAACTATGGACGTTATTGGAGCTGCTCAAGAGATTTCTGTAGCCGGAGAAAAGGTATGTGATAGTTATCTCCTGTGTTTTATTTGTATTCTAGTTGAAAACACTTGCAACTCAAATCGCTGATGAGTCTGCTGATTCATATACTAAACAGGATCTCATGGCTTATTTGTCCAAAATCCCGTTGTACTGTCAGCAGTTGAATATCTGCAGTAAAGTAAGAACATTTTCATCTTTTCATAACTCATTTTCTCATCTAACTTAGGTAAAAGCTGATGTACAACAAGTAGGAAACGAATTAGTGGTTTCTGGATTAGATTCAGCCATGTCTCTCATTCAAACAGCCAGAAATTTATTAGGCGCTGTTGTCATGACTGTGAAATCTGCTTACATCGCCAGTACCAAGGTAGGTATCATCTTTTTTCAAATATTAAGTCGATTGATCATGATCATGATGAAATCATGTTTAAATTATATCATAATTATTATGTAGTGTGCGCTGAAAGAGCGCAGGAGAATGGAAGCAGCTCATTCTCTTTATTTGTCACATAAGTTAGCAGAGGACGGTAAGAAATGAGTGGCGTGATGTATTTTGTTCGTTGTGATATAACATTCAAAGCTTAACGTTTTTTACATTGAAAAGTTAGCATGTCTGACGTTGTGTTGTTTTGTAAATACCAGTTCAGTTCTATTCCGTGCCGGCAGTTCTTCTTGAACCTTCCTAATGCATATCGTTTCAGTTCCGTCGTCCTAATTCTATGGGTCCCAAATTTGATTGGAGAGCTGCTCCACCCCAAAAGAAGCCTTTGGTTCGCCCTCCTCAAAAAACTAGCAGTGTCATTCGCAGGGCAAGTGAACGTCGTCCCATGCGACCTCAACAAGTCCTTGACGAGTTCTTCCAATAAACTGTACATACCCGTTGGAAAGTTTTCAATGTACTCATACATCTCACATATCATTTGTTCATTAATGTAGCACTTATCTGGTCTCCGCTTTCTTATCCTGAAGTATCTCTGTGATCTTTTCCAATATTAGACTCATGACAACTACTTTTTTCTTGATATCAATGCCAGATAATCTTGATTTTAACAGTATTTTGCTTGTATATTACTCCCTATTCAACCTTACTTACGATACTTATGATTCTTAGCAACGTTGCCTTATGTTCATTTTAATAACTCTCTTGTTAATAATTTTTATAAAAATTGTTTATTAAAAGTTATACTCTACTCAAGTGAATTCGTATGAGCTATTCCATAAAATTCTGTGAAAAACTATGATATAGTTCGACTCGTATCTATGCAAATCAACTTAGGACAATCAATTCAAACCTAAACAGTCTTTCGAAATTAGAAATAGTTCATATGTTCTGATTTGGAGATAATACCAGAAGTAATGAACTCGTACTAAGAATGAATTAATGTAAGACTGGCTAGCTTTTAAAGATGTGTCGTAATTGGAACGAATGACACACTTGGACATCTGTAATACGATAAAGTTGTTTGGAAAATCTCGTCAGCTGTTAACCTCTATCAGGGAATCATCCCTTCCAAAGACATTCAATTGATGTTCCAAATTCCTAAGAAGATCGTTGGTTTTGAGTATAAGCAGCATCTCACGGGGCATCCGGGAGAGTACCTAAGAACACGAATGATGGGAAATTCTTAACGAAATCTTACTTCGCTGATTTGAGGGATCAAAGAGACTGCATACTGTCGAAGTTCTTCTTTCTTAAAAACAAGTTGAGATGCGACAATACGTGAAGAGGTACCTCGCTTTTGTCAATTTTACTCTTGTTTATCCCTTCAGTTACAGCTTTCCAAGACCTGCGAGTAACAATGCATGCGAACAAGCCATAAAGCTCTCCGACTCCCATCTGTGTTGCAACTTTCTATGAATGAATAGAGTTATGAGAAGGAGATACAAATGAACCTTGATTCGTTCCTGATTCGCGTCTAACAAAGCTATCCACAGTTCTGAATATAATCGTTTGAACTTCTCATCCATATCCTACAAACGATAAAGTAACCTCTGTTTAAGCAGCGCTTAAGCTCACCAAATACAGACCGTGGTCAAGTAAGACAATTTGAGTTTGTCCGTTGACTTTATTAATAAGCACATTTCCAGCATGTGGGTCGGCATGTAAGTATCCGGCAAGGAAGATCATTTCGGATATCATTTTCGCCATTTTCTTGCAAATCTGATACGTATCAATAGTTCCGTCAAGAGAGAGTATAGCTTACATCATGGCGATTAATGTTATTAGCTTTCATGTAGTTCACGTCGTCCACCTGAGCCCCTTCACAGAACTCCATAGTGAGCACACGCGGGGTACTCAAATCATATATGATTTTAGGAATCTCAAATGGATGCTTAAGTAATAATGCGAACAGAAATAATCATACCTTCAGAAACGGTAAATGAGCGAACATTTTCCGAACTCGGTCGGCGTTTTCCGCTTCATGGAGGAAGTTCAGTTCATTAGGCAGGTTCTTCTTCACCTCTTTCACCAGCCACATCAATCGGAACTCAGGGAAAAGTTTATCAGCGATATTAACTAATAACTGAATGAAGAATTAAATGTCTCCAGAAGAGGTGAAATGAACCAACCTCCATCGTATTCATATCGGTTCGACTATTTTTCAAAACTCTACGATGTTGAACTTTAACTGCAACTTTCTCACCTGTTCCCTGAAGATATCAATTGAGAAAAAAGGAGAGAGGTTACGGAGCGTTACTTTCAGATAGGCTGGATGAACTTGAGCCAAACTTGCAGCTCCAACAGGTGTCTTATCAAATTTATCAAAAATTTCCTCAATCTGTAACTCCGTATGTTAACTAGATCACAATCCGTTCACAAACAGGTTTTCCTAATTCGTCTTCAATCACAAATTTCACATCTTCAAATGAAGCTTGTGGAGCTTTAGACATGAGAACATTCAGAGTGTCTGTATATTCTGGTGGGACTAAGTATTCCATGGCGGCTATATGTTGTCCTACCTAGAGTTGTATAGTTTCAATGTAATTTCGAACAGATTGCTATGTACCTTGATGAAAACTCCTCCATTCTTGTGAGATAAGTCTAGCAGATGCTCTGCACTACGTTTATGGCATTCTTTGATTTTTCTAGCATACTCTTCAGATAAATCATCCAGTCCTTTCAACGAAGTTTTGTAATCAACAATGATCTTGCCGACCTTCAATGGGTATGGTCAAGTTAAAGCATTGATTGGATAGTTTTACCGTTACGACTGCTCTTCCAAATCTTATTAAACCAATTTCCTTCAAATCTTCGATGGAATCAACAGATCTCACAACAGCTACCCCGCCTCCTACAGCTATAGCACCACTGCCATATAGAAACTACAATTATATGTCTCAAACAACTCATAACGATTTCTTCGTACAGCCTTTCTTAGCTGAGGTTTCCTAACTAAACGAAACGAACTAGCAAGCCTTGGAGTGAAATGCATCGTCACAACTTGAACAGCATAAGCTTTCTGTAAAAATTTACTTTTGTATCTGAGTTTTAGTGACGTAGATATGGAACGAAAATAGGTTCTCAGCAGATTTAATGATAAAAATTTGTTAGTAAATGTTGTTGTTGTGTTTATTATTCGTTTTTTAGATATTTAATTGTTTGAATAGTGATGAACTGGCTTTTGAAACAGTTTATCATGCTTGTTACATGAGCTTGTCAACATGCTATTGCATAATTGGTCCCGCCACGATTTCCCATGTGGCTGTTTGCCAAAAGCTTCTTCATCTAAAAAGAAGGAAATTTAAATTTTTGAAATACGTATTATGTATTTTTTAAATTAATTTTTTAACTATTTTTATTGTTTTTTATATTTTTCTATTATTATATGATGATATCGTTATCGGTGAAAGCATTTTCAAGACAGTTTTGCGCAATTATGCAATGCGTTGCTTTTTAAATCAAACTTCGAACTAAAATTTGAAAAAGCTTTCAGGTAAATTACTGTTTCGGATGAATAATGGATACTAATAAGGAATATGATTTCAATGTAGATGCACGATCTTCTCGTTCTGTAAGTACTTCTATGGATAAGCCGTTTGAAGAAGAAAGTACGCCAAATAACAGTATAACCGAACAAGCAGCAGGAAGGAAAAGTTTGTTTGCGTTATGTTTCATTGCAATTTACTTTCAATTCAGGCACATCTCGTATAAGACATAAAAGAAAAGAATATTCCCCTGAAGTTTCTGTTGCACCTTTGTATAAAAGATTCAGTTTGAGCGAAGACTTGTAAGGTTACCATTTCTGCTACCCTCATACATTCTCGTTGCAGTAGTGTTATCAAAGACGGCGCTGAACCAGAAACTTCACGCTCTCTCCTCAATACTAGTCGAGCCCGGAACAAAAATGTTGTAAAAAGATATTCTCCAGCAAGTGAAAAATCGTCGCGAAAGGAAAAAGACGATAGTACAGATTCGCAGAAAGAAGTGGTAAGTTCTCTATTGCTCATATTACTACTACGCTTATGGTTTCAGATTCTTCTCAGTCACCTAGGCGATCTTCTTAAAAAGAAATATTCGCATGTGGAAGACTTTTCTTTAGATTACAGAAAATTGGGAGTGAAAGTGAGTTTGTAGTTAGAGAATGTTTGGTAATGATGTATTTGCAGGTTAAAGACATCAGTCCCGAATATTCATTAGAGCCTCTAGATTTCAAGCACAGTAATTCTGCCGAACCAGCGTTTGTCCCTAGTATCCCCACTGAAATTCCCGAAAAAAAAACGAACAAGCGGACAAGTTCTATCAAGCTCAAAGTGATTTGTGTTTTAGTTTTAATTTTTTTAAATGTGTTGTTTAGCTTCCTCGAAAACATTCTGTTGAAAAGTTATTAAAACAAGAAGCGCAAAACACTCCTAAAAACGAAGGTGATTTTCCTTTCTTTTATCTTACTAACCATTTCTTTGTAGGCGAGAGCTCCAAAGAATCTTCTGTCGTTTCTCAGTCTACACCAGATCATTTGGAAATGAGTAGTCCTTCTGAAAGTAGTGGCAGACCGAAGAGATTAGCGGCTGGTAAAAGTCGAGACTTCATTTCACAATTGGTAGCCCCAAACCGGAGACACAGCAAAGCTTCTGAGGTAATGATCAAGCGTTCTACTGTCATATCTTCTATCTTTTTTCAGCATGCTACTCCTAACGAGCGGGAGAAGTCAGCGAGCAGTACACCAGCTGATGTGAAATCAGAAGAGAAAGAGGTATACTTTTTGCTTGTTAAAAACTTATTTGACTTTTTTTTTTGAAGGAAACTGCCAATTCGAAGCCTGTTGATACTGCAAACATGTAAGTCTGCATCCCAAATGTGTTTTTTAATCTTCATTTCTTACAGTATTCGAGAAGCCGAGAAGATAGCGTCTGCTCTTACTGAATTAACTTCAAGGTTTCAATTGAAGGGAATTCACAATAAACGCTTTTTTAAGACCGAAGCGAAGTTTGAATCTCACACCGAAAATGCGGAACGTTTTCAATCTCAAAGGAGACAAGACAGGTTTAACCAGGTCTGATTTCAAAATTACTGCCAGACCGAATTCGGCATTGGATATATTGAGGAATGCAAAGTGAGTCCACTTGACAAAGTTTTTTAAAGTCTGCTCTCTCTCAGATTGTATCAGCGTGTTAGGAGTCCTTCTCCTATCAACACTTCCATCCCACCAGTGTCCAAACCTGCGACCCCTCCCCACGCTGAGAGTCCCATAGATTCAAAACCTGAAGTATGCTGTTCATTAAGTATTGGTGAACTGATGGTGTGTTTTAGGAAAAGTTGCCAGTTCCGGAAGACTCTGTTGCATCCCCTCCTCGAACCCCCGAAGATGACGAGAACAATGGTCAGTATTAAATGTTCAAACCTCGCACAACTTGCTATTTAGATAAAGATATCAAAGTTGAAGAAGTATCTTTGGGAATACCTGAACCTGAGGAAGAGGTTATGGATACAAAGCTTGATGAGAGTGATGCTAAAGAGGTTTGTTTCATATTTTGAATAAGATTTGGAACGTTTTGGTTGGCAGGATGAGAAACTGGATTCTGAGCCTTCCGAAGCTCCAGAAACTGCGGAGGCTACATCCATTTCTTCAGCTTTTCAAGCTAAACCTGGAAGAAGTAAAGGGAAACTTCTGAATGAGGTTAGTCTCCCAATGGAGACTTCTTATACATCAGAAATTGTAGAATGACTCACCAGTCAAGCCAATACCTGAGATCTCAGCTCCAGTGCTGCCCATTAAGAAAGTCGAACGTAAGCTTGATATGTAATAGAATTACTAATATGATGAAATCATTTAAGCGGTTCGGTCATCACGACGAATTATTAAGCCTGTAAAATTCGAAGATTTTGTAACTGATCACCCCCATCCTAAGAATGAACGTACAGCCTCTTCGAGCGCTGCTTCGATTTCCGATGTTCCTTCTTCGTCGGAGGTAGATAAGCAAAGCAAATATGAGCTCAAACAGTTAATTGTTTAGGAAACCCCAGTTGAGCTTGCAAAACCTGCAGGACGACAACGGCCTCGCAAGTCGAGCATCTCCAATAAGAGGTTAGATTTTCTTCGAAACTTCTGTGAACACAATTACTCAATTATAGGAAATCGGAGCCACAACCTATCCGTTTGAAACTTCGGTTAGATGGTAAACGTTCAAGTGTAATTGGTGGGATACCGAAAGTTACTTCACCTGAACCACGGATAGCAGTGGAAGATACCAAACAGACGAGTATTTTTCATGCTGTGAAAGAGACTACACCCTTGAATGACAGTATTTTAACAAACGAAAATGTCACCCCAACAGAAGCTGAACGTAGAGGAGAGGTAATATATTAAATTTCCATCCTTATTTTATCTGCTCCATATATAGACTAAGGTGAAACGGAAGTCAGGGAAATCCTGGATCTTAGGCTACACGCCGTCAGTCAAACCCGTGTTGGAAGACCTCGTACACACTAACGGTTCTATTTTAAGCTTCCTAATTTCATTAAATCAGAATCGTTACAGGAACAGTTGAGAAGATTGGAGTAGTGGTGTATGCTGTGATGGACAGAATTCTACTTGAAGTCTGCCAAGATGGCGTTGTGCGTCATTCTGGCGCAATATCCAAAAAAGATCGTAGACAGAGGTTTGTTTCAATTCATAATATGTACCTCATTGCTTTTTCAGAGCTATGGGAATCGCTCGTCAGCGTTACTTGGAGAAGAAAGCTGAGTATGAAGTTTTGAAAGCTGCTTGTTTGGCTCGTGGAGAAACTCCTCCAGTGTTCAGTCATACTCTTACGTACGTTTACAATGGAAGATTACCTAAAAACTTTTTTTGATTTTAGCACTCATAAGCGATACTCAAGATCTTCCCTTCCTTCGGATGCGGATTGCTTGTCAAGCGGCAGAGCCGAGCGAACGAAGAAGGGAGGAATTTACAAGCAAAATGAGTATCTCATGAAAACCAACAAATCTCGTAAATTCTCTGAAAGTGATGTGAGTTTGTATTATATATTTCTTATTTTATTTTCTGTTATAGGACAATGAAGGAAAGGAACCGAAGTCTAGGAAGATACTCGAGTTTTCTCCCATACAGCAGCGTGAACCCAAAGAAGAAAAATTCCTGCATGAGAAGAGGAAGAGAAGAGCAGGTTAGAGAACTGTAAAGGACTTCTTTCATGAGAGAAATGCTTCAGATGAATATTCTGGACGTAATGAGAATGACTATTACTCTCATGAGCGGATACATGAGATACGAGAGAAGCAACGTGAAAAGACTGTACCCTTCAGTATGTTCCTTGAAAACAAACCAGAGGGATTATCTCAATCTCTCTGTATAAATACTCCAATCACTTCTTCTCAACCTCATGATTTCTTCTACAGAGACCTGCTTTACGGCTCAAGGTTTTGTTTTTTTTTCCTTTGCGGTCCTTTAAGATACAGTTTCAGAATGACATCTGTGAACACCGAGTATGTAGATGATGTGGTAGATATTTTGGAGAACGAGAAAACTGAGTTCAATGAGAACGATTACGTTATAAACTCTGATGCCAAGAATCTAGCTGCTCATATAGGTACTCTTTTGATGAGACCCAGTCAGCCGGATGGCTCCTATAGTATATCGGACTTCTTCAGTTTGTAAGTTTTTGAAGTGTCATATTGCGAAAACTGTGAATATCTAGAATAAGAGAAGAAACTGAACTGAGAAGAGCAATCGTCAATCAGGCAATGGATATCATCACTGATCAGTACGTGACTGAACAAGTCGCTTACGACGTTAATGCAAATGTGACTGTTTACAACACAACCCTCAGAAATGCATCTCTCTTGAGAGATATTTTCAATATGTTCAGTGAAGTAAGTTCCAAGTGTTTGTTACTTCTTCACACTTCTGTCCTCTAGGAACGTCAAAACTGTGTATATTGGGTGCACAGAACTTTCCTCGAAACTTTGCCAGAGCATTTCCTCGCGTCCTACCTCATCCTCCTCAGATACTGTAAAACATTGGTGAGTGTCAAATGATAATCCTGAGCTATTGTGTTTTTGTAGACGAATTCATACATTGGGAAAGTTATCAAAAACTGTGCGAATGATTCATATCCATGGCCAGAAGTTGTTGAGCTGCTCACGGAATTCACGAATACGAAGGTTGTCGATCCGGATCTTGATATGCTGAATCGAACTGTAACTGTGAGCATTTAATAATATGTTTTTGTTGTTGTACATTAGCACTTTGTTTCAATAATGTTAAAATAAAACTACTTGTAGAGTTGCCTGCTGTCTGATGTCGTATTTCTACTTGTCTCACCAGCTATAAGTGCCGGAGATTTTGTGTTGAAGGCCCGTTATCACGAAAACGTTTTTAGGTCAGTACAAGATTGTTAAACAGAGAAATGTCATCCATTACAGATGGCTCAAACAAATGGGACATCCTGCTTCTGAAGTGATGCGCATGAGTTTTAATGAGGATTATGAGAATTACTCAGTCGCACAGCTCTGTGATACTATGATTGACAAAATAGTTCAGAAGGTTAACACCTATGTAGTTCTGATATAAGCAACCCTGAGATCTTACAGGTTAAGCAGTTAACGAAGTCTCATCGCGACAAACGAATTGTTCTTGTGGGATGGCAAACAACTTGTTTCTTTAATCATAGAGTAATATGATAAGTAGTACAGTAGCTAAATTCCGTTTTTGAAGGCTGTTCAATTGACTCATGGAGTGTCAGCAATCATCGACTTGGCTTTCCCTGTTCTGACTACTGAAGGACCTCGAGGAGTAAGGGATGTAATTTGTTCCATTGTAATCGTGTGTGTTTCAGTCAGCCGATGATGACATTCTCTTAACGTACTGCCCATCACTCTTCATAGCCGGTTCCGAGTCAGAAGATTTTGACGCTGTTGCCATGAGGGAGTTACGTTCTCATATGATCGGTTGGTTTTTATTGCTAACTTTCTCTAAGGTACTAATATTTATAGTGCCGACTGGATTGGTAGTAGTTGCCAATGCAGATGCTAACCTTATGGTGTCCAATACTGTTCTGAATAAATTGTGTATAACGCAGAAAACTGTACATAGAGCTCTTGTTGTAAGTTTCATTAGACCGAGCTTCTCCTCATCTTATCCGTTCAGGAACAAGTAAATCATTTTCTACGATTGGATGAAACAAGAAAGGAAAGATCTCAATTAATACCAGTCGAACTTAATAATGTTTATCATGTAGATCCATCGAAGTTCAGGTATGCTCTATTCCTCATGAGAACTTTATGATTCTAACTCCGTTTCAGTGCAAAGGACAAACAAAAGTTAACATCAGAGAAAGAAGAAGCTGCTCGATCGAAAAAGAAAAGGTTTGTTCACGATTCTTGATCTTCATCTATAATTTCTTTCAGATTTGCTGGACCTTTCTCACCAACAGCACCAGCCATGCCGGCTCTATCTGCTGAGATGACTCTATCAACCAGTCAAGCACGAAACCGTTTCGATCAAATGCTCAAAAAGTAAGTAACGATCAAGATATTTTACGTGATTATATGATGTTTAGATCTCTACCTCAACATTATGATTCTCGGAAGGTGAAAGAAGATGCTACAAGAAAAGAAAGCTTCAGAGAGCCTAGAGCTCCACCAGTTTCGGCTGGATATAAATGTAAGTCACTTATTGATTACAACGTTGCTCTCAAATGAATGATTCCAGCTTCGCCGTTGCCGTCGCCGTCTGTGAGACCGAGTTCAACAGAGGCTTCAAATCTTCTAGATCCTGCTTTGATATCCCTTAGTTAAGCCTAGACCAACCCGTTTGTAACCAAGAAAAGGAAACGACGCCATAGAAGCGGTTCGCTTTCCTCAATGATTGTTTTCCATTGTTGTTCGTTTTGTTGTTTGATTTCTTTAGGTTGTTTAGAATATGATATCCTGTTCGAACTTATACTTCTTGTGCATATGATTCTTCTAAAGTCTTGTATTTTCAAACTAATTTTTAACTGTTTCAACACTATCGGATAGATTGTTTCCATCAAAAAATGCATATTTCCATCCCAGCTGTTATTTTTTCTTTTTACAATCAGTTTCGGAATATCCGACGAACAAGTGATGAGTCATTAACGTCTCTGAGATACTTAAAGTGGTAGGTAGGTACATCTGCACAAACTCTGAAACATGTGAATGACAACAGAAAACTTACTGCATCTTATTGTGAGTAGTATCAATGCCGCCACTGCATGTTCCATTACTCATCTTCGTGATTTCATTCAGCTTGTCTCGTGCTTCAAGTTTGAAGTTGTATGTATCTGTTTTCTCGGCGTCTTCTGGATACCATTTACCGCGAGAATAGGTATCTCTTTCAATATTTTAAACTAGTATCATGGAATTGGATTGAAATAGGATGTTTATGATAACAAAGACCAGCGATGTTCAACACGTTGTTCTTCAACGTTCGTTGAGCCCACGTAGTAGCTGTGGTTACCCAATTTGTATGGAAGAATGAACTACGATAGATTTACAGTTTTTTTTAGATATCTTCAATCTCCCCATTGAAGAAACCCATCATATGGCTCACGCTGACCCGTGTCCCTCCATTCATACATTCCATTTCTCTTCTTATTTGTCCCATCTCAAAAGTTTTTTCATTTTCCGTCTCGCTCATCTTATTGTTCAGTAATTTTACGATTAGCCAGCCAGTAGAAGAGAATTCGGAATGCTCAGTCTATCACACTCGTTTTCCTTTTCGCTTCGACTGCTCCAATGTTTGATTATAATGATATGTACTATCAGTTGATCATAAATGAGGAACAAAAAGAGTTTCGATTGAAGAGGAAATCTAACTGAGTGACTGCTCATTCATGTACTTACACTCAAAATTAGAATTTTCTCGTTTTAATACTGAGGATGCAAGCCTATTGAATGGTCATGGGAGGAGTCCAACCGTTCTGGACGGTTGGTGTTGGACTGCAACAGTTATGAATCGTGAAGAATGGGATAGAACCGTTCTTGACGGTGAAGGATGGAATGCAACCGTTCTGAACAGTGAAGAATGGAATGCAACCGTTCTGAACGGTGAAGAATGGAATGCAACCCTTCGGTGCGTTTCAGATAAGACCCGGACTTATCCAGTTCTCATCTCTGGCTTGCGCGCCGATGAGCTTTTTCCTCCTCTCTGGAGAACCTCCAGAGAGAGAGGAGTGGAGCTCACCGGCTCACACCGCCGACTGACGTGATTCAGAAACTTTACGGCTTATATACCCCCGTGGAAACGCGTCACGTGGAAATAATTTTTACGTGAAAAATAAAATGATCCGGTCGTTCTTTTTTGAAAAAATGCT